GGGTGGAGCATCCACTCTTCTGAGGGTATGTTGCTCCGAGATAGCATGTCTGCTCCTTGGTTCAACCTGCCCGGCACATGCTCTGCCCTTAGCGAGCACAAGTTGATCTAAGCCCATTCCAGGAGGTGCTCTATTAGCATGAAGATGCGCTTCAAGGAGAGACCGCCCTGGCGATTTATATATGACACCACTGTCATGCTGTCTGAGCGGACTCGCCGAAAGCCGGTTTGCCATTGCATAGCGCTCCCCAACCCATGTTGGAAGCATCTGTCGAGACCACCTTCGTTCTGCAGACCATTCCCAGGGGCACTCCCTGTTCCATCCAGTGAGAGTCTTTCCAAGGGGCCAGAGCTGCTACGCAGGCTCGGTCCACTTGACATGCAGGCGTGGGATGGAACTCGTGGTTTCAGCCAGTACTGAAGGGGCCACATGCGAAGCAGGCCCAGCTAAAGTACCGGAGACGCAGAGGCCATGAGGCCCAGCATCTTCTGAAACGCCTTGAGAGGGCGAGGGGCTCCAACTTTGAATGAGGCCGCAAGCTGCTGAATGGCCAGTGCACGTTCTGGCGCGACTACCACCATCATTCGGGCTGAGTCGAGAACTGTTCCCAAGAACGATATCCGTTGGCTGGAAAACAGAACGCTCTTGGCAAAATTGACCCTGAGTCCCAGGCATTCTAAGTGGCTGAGGAGGAAGGATCTGTGAAATAGTAGCTCGTCCTCCAACTGGGCCAAGATGAGTCAGTCATCGAGGTAATTCAGAATGCGGATTCCCATCTGTCTCGGTGGGGAAAGAGCCGCATCCATGCACTCGTAAAAGTGCGAGGATATAGGGACAGTCCAAGGGAAGGACCGTGTATTGATATGCCACTCCCTCGAAGGAGAATCTCAAGAATCGTCTGTGGTGGGGGGCTATCTGGATGTGAAAGTAGGTGTCTTTCAGATCCAGCGAAAAGAACCAGCCCCCTGGGCACACTTGCGAGAGGATCTGTTTCAATGTAATCATCCTGAACGGCCGTTTCATGAGGGTGCGGTTCAGGTGCCTGAGATTGAGGATGGGCCTTAGGTCGCCATCCTTTTTGGGGATGAGGAAGTAGCGGCTGTAGAAGCCTGATTCGCTCTGAGCTGGGGGAACCGTTTCTATGGCTCCTATCTCCAGCAAATTCATCACCTTGGAGCGCAGGACGTGTGCGTCTATGCTCTAAACCGAGGTGGGAACCACGCCGCTGAATTGCGGGGGTCTTCGAGCAAATTGCAGTGAATAACCTCATTTTATTATCCCCAAAACCCAGTCTGGCACTCCAGGGATGGCCTGCCAGGCCTTAGCCCGCGTGACAAGGGGTTGGATTAATTCGAGTGGCTGGTCGCCGTACGGGGAAGCCAAACTCGTGATAAACAGAAGAAGAAATTTGCTCTCTTTTGAAAATGCTTTCAAAAAATGCTTCGCTAGACTTAATACTCTTGTAACGAGAGTAGTCAGCCCCCATGCGTGCTGCCTCAGCTTGGGCATGACCCAGATGCAGCAAATCTGAAGCTGTCAGTGATAATAATCATTAGTGACAGCATTCTCCTTTAATCTGCCTAAAAAGATCAAACCACTCATTAGAAGAGGAGTATTGATGATCTTTATGTGTAAACACACCAGCAGATCAAAAGTCAGAGCCGCTCGTAGCAGATAAGGGAAGGGGAGGAGTGGGGCAGGGCTGCCTCCATTGAAGAAGGCGAGCCGCGAGCAAAGCAGAGCGAGACATAAACTCTCGTAGTGCGAGTCATCTGTCTCAGCGAGCACAGCCTCAGTGTGGGTGAGGCCCAGGCGAGAGGCGCATTCAAATATGAAGCTGTCAGCGATATTGAATCATTGGTGACCATGTTCTGCTCCTCACGTGAACACACTAGCTGATCAAAGAGCTGCATGGAGAGTGATGCACATGGGGGCTTTGCCGGTGTTAAATCACTCAAGCCTGATCTCATCCCCGCGAGTTCGCCATTTCTTCCTCCGAGTAACTGGGAGGAGAGAAACACAAGAGCTGGGAGGCGAGGCTCAGCGACGCACACACAAATGCGAAGCTGACAGCAATAGAGGTGACACCGTTCTGCTCCGATCTGCCTAGGAGGATTAAGCCGCTCTGTGTAACGAGGGGTGCTGATCCTCATGTGTAACACACACTGGCAGATCAAATGAAGCACACATGATATGTGCCGGCATAAAATTGCTTAAGCCCGATCACTCAACCCACGAGCTCGCCATTGCTTACTTCGAGGTAACTGGAAGGAGAGAAACATGAGATCGGGGAGACGACGGGGCCGCCTTCCTCCAGCAAACAGGGGCAGACTGCTTTCGTGGTAAAAGCAGCCAGTCTCTGTGAGCGCAGCCTTAGCGACACACACACAAATACGAAGCTGCCAGTGACAGCGTTCTGCTCCGATCTGCCTAGGAGGATAGAGCCGCTCGATGTAACGAGGGGCGCTGATCCGCACGTGTAAGACATGGATCGAAGCATAGCGGGGAGAGCGAGCACGCGGGCTCTGTGTCGGCATGAAATCGCTCAGACCCAGTTGCTTAGCTCCCAAAGCTCCTCAAAAACTGTTTCTCTCTCCAAGGCTCTCTGAGAGAGGAGAAACGGGAGAGGGGCTGACTCATTGAAAGTGGTCCACGAGCGGAGAAGAGCGAGACTCATGTCTCAGTGAGTCAGTGAGGGTTCAGTGCTGGTGTGAGATCATTCAGACCCGGTTGCTTAGTTCCCTGACTCCGCTGTTTCTTTGTGGCCATAGATTCGTGCAGCACCGCTGCTGAGCCATTGGTTCGCTTTTAAAATGCACTGAACGAACCGATGGCCATGCAGTTACACTGCATTATTGAAAAGGCTTCAGTATTCTGAGAAAAAGGAGTTTTCCCCATAGCGTCTTAAACAGACGCGTGTTACGAGTGAAGTATCGATAGGGAACTAGCTTATCTTCCCTGCAAACGATCCAGTGAAGAATGTGAGCATTTAACTTCAAGGTAAAAACTAAACAAAATATAAGCAGGTATCCGTATTAATTTCAGCTATATATACATATAATACAAGTAGAAACATATGTATGTGAATGGAGAATGTGTGTGTGTGTACAGATTTATATATCCTGGTGGGGACTTAAACCTGAATACACAACAGACTCATGGGGACTCGTGACATGGTGGGGACCTAAATTGAGGTCCCCATGGGTACAAAAGCTTACAAATCATACAAAATGAGTTTCTTTGAGAAAGGAAAATTACAGAAAGTTTCCTGTGAGGAGTAGGTTTAGGTGTAGAGCGATAGAAAACACAGCTTGTACAGTATAAAAACCATTATACCTATGGAGAATTCATACAACATTAGCTGAGCAGACTTGTGTGTGTGAGAGAATAAGAGAAAGACTTGATATGTACATAACTGAAAGGTGATGTATGTGAATGGAGAATGTGTGTGTGTGTACAGATTTATATATCCTGGTGGGGACTTAAACCTGAATACACAACAGACTCATGGGGACTCGTGACATGGTGGGGACCTAAATTGAGGTCCCCATGGGTACAAAAGCTTACAAATCATACAAAATGAGTTTCTTTGAGAAAGGAAAACTACAGAAAGTTTCCTGTGAGGGGTAGGTTTAGGTGTAGAGCGATAGAAAACACAGCTTGTACAGTATAAAAACCATTATACCTATGGAGAATTCATACAACATTAGCTGAGCAGACTTGTGTGTATGACAATAAGAGAAAGACTTGATATGTACATAACTGAAAGGTGAATATACCAGTGAAAATCTAGAAAAATGTGTATGTGAAAGAAGAACGTGAGTGTGTGAGAAAACGAAATATGGGCTGTATGGCCCCACACAGAGTAAAACCAATGGAAATGGTTTTTGTAATAACCAAATGTTACATCCAAACACATCCTGTCTCTCCAGAGCCAATAGGCATCACCGTTGTGGTGGGGAAAAAACAATTTTTTTGCAATGATGCTGAGGCTTACCATGTAAACGACAGAAGTGTGAAATGTGTGGGATTGTGGTAAGTGCAATTTTAAAGGAACAGATCAACCAAAATGTCAAATTGTTCCAAACCTGTTTAATGATTTTTGTTCTGTGGAGAATTTTTAAAGATTTATTTTTGGCAGTTCTTTTCCATATAATATAAGGTGATATTCACCATAATCTTGCCCTCTGCCTTTGAAATAAATTCTAAAATGCGTATGAACTACAATCAACAGCACTGATCTCATGTCCAAATTTAATCACGTCAGACCTCCTATAATGATGCCATCATCCTGTAATGAGGCCATATTTGATTTTTAGGACTGCATACTGAAAGATTTTCTGTGAATTAAAGACTTATGTTTCGGACTGTGATGTAGTCATATGGACTTAATTTAATGTTGCTTCTTTGTCATTTTGGAGCTCTCAGTTCTCATTCACTTTTAATGTACAGAAAAGAATGTCTTGAATAGTCTTCAGTGTCACCATTTTATTCCATAGAAGGAAGTACACAAACATCTATGGTTCTATGACGAACCTTTAACATCCTCGGAATATGTATATTACACAAAAGGTTCTTTATAGTGGAAAAGTTTTTTTAAATGTTCTTCACAATAAGAAAATTGCTTCTTTTTAGAACTGTTCATTAAAATGTTCATCAGGGAACCAAAAATGATTCTTCAATGGCATCGCTGCGAAAACAGCAGCAATATTTATTTTTAAGAGTAAAAAAATTAAAATGAGATGAGGATACGAAAATTATGTCAGAATTTCCATTTATAGGCAACTCTCCAGTTAAGGGTTGACTTTTCTTCAGTAAACAGTTTTTGGCTGACTTGGGTTTTTTGGGAAAACACCACTTTGTTGTGACCTTCTTCCACTCCATCTCTTTATGCTGCGTTTTCGCATGCAAGAAAACCACAGCTATGTATGTGGTTTCAAATCTAAATATCTTTTCAATCTTGCAAATGGGTAATGCTCATTTTGCTTTCTTGCTCAATCTTTACAGATTGCTGATACTGAGCCCAGTGCCTATTGAAGGCCTCCTGTTTTCGCGGTTTACTGATGACATCTTCTGCAAAAGCGACTCTCTGAATGTCCTGCACATGAAAAAGTAGATGACAGGATCCAGACACACATTAAGGGCAGAGAGGAAGAGCGTAGCTTCTTTGATCTGGAAGAGAATGAAGCGGTTGTAGGGGCTAAAATCATCCTTGTGGCTTTGGCTAAGCGTGTAGGGCACGCGACAAACATGGTACGGAACAAAGCAGAAGACAAAAACAGCCAGCAAGCTAAAGATGCTTCGGTTTGACCGCCGTCTCGCCACACTGCTCTCCTGCTGCACGCGTTTGTAAGAGCGGTAAACATGATAGGCGATGGAGGTGTAGCAAAACACCATCAGCAGGAACGCCACCCAGAAGATTCCAACGTTGAAGTGGGCTGACATTTCGTGCCAGTGCTGACCCAGGTCACTCTTCAGGGCCATGCAGGAGAAAACCTTAGGCATGGGCTGGTTGGATAATATGGCGTTCGGCAGCATGAAGAACATCATGACGCCCCAAGTTAGCAGTGCGAGACCCTTTGCTACCGAAACACGCTGCAGAAAGGAAGACATGCCAAAGGTGCTGCGTACTTCCTGTTAATTCATGGAAGTATGACAGCTGTACCACTGCTTTAATCTCACACACTGTTCACAAATAAATAACACAACACACTTGTGAGCAGTTGATGACAGTCACCACCACCTGATCTCATTGGACCTTTGTTTTCATTGTGACAATAATTGTATTTTAGCATATTGCTACAAGTGTAATGTTAAAGCACAAAGAGTCAAGAGCCCAACTAATGCAAACACTGATCACAATAATGGTGATTTGTTGAAAATTCAAATTTTTTTCAACATCAATTAAAAAGGTGCAAAGGTGATTTGGGTTCAACGCAATCAACGTTCACAAATCAACAATTTTTAACATTGATTCAATGGTTGCTTGCTATCAGGGATGGTAATGGACAACGCTAATGTGTTTGGTCTAGGCAGAATAGATCAGCTGCTGCTGCGGCAGAGCAAGTACAGAGACTTGCTGCTGCCAATACATCCACAGTATGCTGCTGTGAGCATGTAAGAAATACTGCCGCTGCACATAACATATGAAATAACCCCCCACAAAGCAGGAGACACAGAATGGACAATACAAGCCAAATACACTACCCATAAAGCATCTCACTCTGGACTACTGAACACCTGTAGATTTCTGAAGCGCGTTGCAACTGCTACAGCAAGCACTAGCCAAGTAGTTGAATGTTGAGCAGCAAGCTAATTGGCTGCTCATACAAAAAGAACCAATCAGCTGAGCCATGTGATGATGTCATTATGTCAGATTGAGTTTGACCTATCAGACTGCGCCATCCAGAGTTTAATGCCAGAACGTTGGATATGTAAATATTAGTATTTTTGTAGTTTTACTCCATTTTTTATTTTACATTTTATTTTACAATTTATTTGATTATTATACTATTTTAAAACCATTATTTAAAAAAATAAAAACTATGAAATGGTTACTACTAATTACTAATGGTTACTAAGTTAACCCAAATGTGAATTATTTAAAATATTATTTTTTCAGCATTAACCCGATTTCACAAAAAAAAAAAACAGAGTGAAAATGAATAATTTAGCTTAAATAAATTAAATATATATATATTTCCGTAGTGCAGCAGTGGCTCCAGGATTTATTTGTTGGGGGTGCTAAAAAACTAATTAAATTGAGTTTAAGTAATGAATGCCTATAAGCTTCAGCTATCTAAATAGCATGCAAATTCAGCCACCTTGTGTTTTTTTTATATACAGCAGCTTCGAAAAAGGCACATTTTAAATTTTTTTCTGTGGTATTAAACTTCTCATATGCCACTGTTATTAGTAATATAATTTATAATGCCAACTGCCAAATATGACACTTAATGCAATTTATGAATGCACATAGAAAAGAAAGTAGGGATTTTTTTTTCTTTTTTCATTATTTTATTTTATTGTTATTTATTTTTTTTACACACATCCATTTAGTAATTTTTTTCTGACCATCAAGTGTCAGTCACTCTCAATGGCAACTGGCAGGAAAACATGGTAAATTCTAACTATTTTTTTACAATAGATCAAGTGCCGACAATTCATACAACTATTTCCACACAGTGGATAACCTCCCCGTGCTGAGATGCGTCGTATCATGTGTCGACGATAGCCAGAGATATGGTCAAAAGCATAAAAAAATTGGCAATAATAAGAGGATTTAGCCTTTCCAATTATTCTTATTATTATTAGGTCTATTATTATTAGGTTACTTTTATTATTAAATTACATGAAATTATTGTATTGTATAGTCTCTCGTTGTCTCAGAGAATATGCACCGTTAATGCAGCGTTAGAAAGCTCCGTCAGTTTTTTTTTACTTTCACTTTCTCTATAGGGAATTGACTGACGTTCACCCATCTTGCGCACAGTTTGCGCGTTGCTTGCTTGTGTTGCTTGACCCCTCCCCCATAATATCAATTGTTTATAGGCCACATATTGAGCCACCACTGCCTTAGTGCATGCACATTTAAAAACAAAATCACCACACTAAATCTTGAATAATTAATTATTTTCCAACAAAGCTATGTCATCTGGTGAAAATTCCTGTATTTTTCATATTGCAGTTTATTGCAAGAACAATGTTTTTTGTCTTTTTTTTTTCCAATAATGCAAACCCTGATGACATATCACTATTATATCATTAACTCTATTATTTAAATAATTGTAAACATTAATTAGCTGCTTTATCATATTAAACTTACTTCATATCCATATGCAGCAGTGCGTCCAGCTTTTGGTGTGCTCACACAAAAATGAAAGTGAAAAATAAAAGCAAATGCATTGTGATGTGTGAGAAGAAAGACATATGAATTTGAATATTTGCTGGCTTGATTTGCAAACAAATGCAAAAAAGTTACTCAGTTATGCAATGCCAGAACATGCACAAAGCTTATATTCTCCTCTGCAAAACCACATATACCACATATTATACATTTGACCAGTTTGAAAATTCAAATGCATGTGAACACTTCATCCCCTTGGAATTATAAGGTTCTATCTGACATTTTTGACAAATTGAGTTATTCACATATTCTTATTCTGCGACAACTTATTTACATTATGTGATAGATTTTTTAATGTTGTGTACATTTTGGGACTTTTTATTTAAAAAACAAAAAAGTTCTATCTACACAGTCGAATGGAATACAAAAACTTTGAAGCTCAAAATCTCTAAACTACTCGGAATGCAGATACAACCTTATAATTCCAAGGGGACGACACGTCAAAAATGTATTGATTTGTCTTATAAAATTAGTTCTAGTACACACATGAACAATGAACATGAATAACACGCATCCATTTGATTTCATCCAGGCAAATCACATTTAATTGCTGCGTTAACCTTTTTCTTTCTTTCTTTCTTTCTTTCTTTCTTTTTTTCTTTTTTTCTTTTAACTTCATTACTACTTTGTAGATTTTCTATTTTCTTATTCACAAAATGAAACATAGTGTACATAATTAATTTTCAGTCTTAAGATAAATTTTACATTGAGGAAGTATAGGCTATTTTTCACAGTATACATGATGTTGCATGGCAGCTTATCCCTTACACAAAGAAAATATGTTTCCTAATATATGAATTATCAATATATTAAATGACATAATGGTACACAGTAAAATCCCGAGTGTTAAATGAACACTGCTCGGAGCATATATGGTCCCACTCTAAAAGAGTGTTAAAGTAACACTGAAGCAGTGTTAAAGTTAATGAGATAATTATGTGATTAATTAAGTGCTGATTGAGCATTAGTGATGAACAGCTGCTGTTAACAAGCAGAATCACTGAAGAAAAGAGAAACAAGAATTACAACTGCCTTCAGCCACAGCCTTAGATAAAATCAACTGAAATAAAAGAAGACATTAAATCTCTCAAGATCTCAGCAGAAGATAATTAATCATCTGCACAAACAGCATCACTAGCTTCGCACATTACTAACCAGTTTGAATTTTTATTTGTCATGCGTCTAACAATTTCTTATTAAGAATTAACAGAGATTTAGAACTTAATGTTTATTAAAAATAATACAATTTGAAGTCACCGTTGTGGGGATAAGTGTTTGCTTTAGTTGGGCTCTGGACCCTTGACTTTTTAACATTAGTATTTTTCTGGTTGCTGTAGCTATGTTTATGAAACACGTTTGTCATGGCAACAAAAACCAAGAGAAAATATGTTTAGATTATGTTGTCCACTATTTTGTTAGTGGCTGTTGTCATGTAGTAGCTGGGTTCACTGATGTCACCAGTTGTGTAATATAGTTTGTTTCTGATCAAAACTGTATTTTAATTAAATAATAGGAAGAGCTTTAAAAACACTTTGCACACCAGTTTAGAACATCTGCACTGTTTAAACACACAGACATCAAGAATCAGCATATGAATCTCAACAATGGTGATGATCATCAGACAGATTCATGTTGCATTGCATTCTGGGTGCACCAATCATAACTCATCCATGGCTCCCAGCATGCATTGCGACATGAATAGATTATGCAGCTGCATTGTCTTAGTATTTTATTTTTTTACTATTTGCTTTTATTTTTTTTTGTGACTTTTTACTGCCTTGTTTTGTGACATTCAAAAATCACATAAAAATTATCAGAATATTTTGTCACTATTGCTGAGATTCACACGCTGATTCTTCATGTCTATGAGTACCAGAAGAGAAACCTCTTTATAAACCATGTTTATAAAAGTTGTTTATGAAAATTTTCTCACGTTGTTATCTCATAACTATAACAACACAGAAATCATAAGATCACTACAGTTTTAGATAAATTGCGTCCAGAGTCTCAGGCGCATGACATGATTTCATCATAAGTGCTTGCTGTCACATATGTGTTTAATACACATAATTGTGCCATCCAAAGAGAAATTTAAGTTAAAAGTTCAAGGGTCAAGAGGCAACTAAAGCAACCACTATTCACAAAAA